ATTTAACACTAAATCCTCATCCTTCTCTTTTCAAGTACTTTATGACTTTATTGACTTGATTGGTTAGACTTACAATGGTTTTTCTATACAGTCAGTATTTCTATATTATATTTAGTTTGAACATAATATAATCAATTTGATACAGTTATGCAAGCACAAAACGAGAATCGAACGACGCAAAAGCGGTTGATAGCTCTTCCGGGGTTTTTGTGTACGACCAACTTACAAAAAGTTTCCTACTTTATTTTAAAGTATTTTTTTATTGTTCTATGTGGGTAAACGGACTCACTGTTCAAACATCTACTGATAAACTTGTTTGGCTTCAATTTAAATGAAATGCCTTTCGCATTCTTTTCATTTGTCTAATGTATTGAGTTAGTCTTGTGTTGGTTTGGCAGTCTGTTACCACTTTTTTTTTTTTTTATGATTGAATGTTTATGGGTTGCCCGGAGGCCTTTCCAGTTTCACCAAGACAGGTGGGCGAGCAAAGGCTCAGCCAGAAGGGGTGGGATTTGCTAACAGCTGCCCGAGCGCCTCCGAAGGAGACCTAACAACTCAAGAGCAACTGCACAAAATTATATGATTCACGAAACTATCTATAAACGTAATTATCTATAATACGATGTAAAAATAACGCTGCCAATTGTAATTGTTGCCAGATATGTTCTTCGGGTAGCCATGGCGACGAACGTTACTTCAACACGATGCCTCTTCGTGCCAATGAACTTGGGATACCGTTTCGTAACGTTGCCGAGGGCACCTTTTAATTTTACACATTATAAATGTTAACGTGCTTGTACTTTTGACCTTTATCGCAACGTTCACATGTACCTATCGCTCTTGATTTTATTTATATTCTCCTTCTGTAACATAATTACATTATATACAGAGTTCTTTAAACAATGACAATTTATTGATACGACATAATTTAATTAATGGATCGACGCGCTTACGTCCCATCGCGTGTTAATTGTGTTTAAGGAGCCCATGAACATCACAACGTGATTTCCTCCAGCCATATTGACACATGAGGTCGAAGTCTACGATACACCCGTTCGTACTTAAAATAAGCCTACCAGAGGTAATTTATTATAGACTAGCGACCAGCCCTCGCTTCGTTTCGGAAATATTAATTTATTATTGATTTCTCCACTATGTAATGGATGTTATTATACACATAAACCTTTCTCTTCAATCACTCTATCTGTTAAAAAAATTAAAATCCGTTTCGTAGTTTTAAAGATTTAAGCCTACATAGGGATATAGGAACAGAGAAAGCGACTTTATTTTATACAATGTAGTGATTGTGAAGTAATTTAGTATAGAATTTTATATATTTGATTTTATTACTTATGTTTCTTCAACGTGAAGCTATTCGTGAATACAATCAAAAACGGATCTTCTTAGGAAAACCGATGACTGTCTTCGATATTTTTTTAGTAAAATTTTAAATGCTAACCCTATATCTCTCTGTATAACGATATGTATAACGATTTTTTTTATCAGAACAAGTCGTTCGTTTATCTTGAAAATTTGCAAATGTTCAAGGACCTACGATATGAAACAATAATTACTTTGACCGGAATAACCAAAATGAAAATATTTTTCATTTTCATTTTAAATTTACGTTACTATTAAATAGTGTTGTTTTTTAGTTTTGAGTCTTCAATCGTAAATATTCAAAGTAGCCAAACTTTGGAAATTTTAAATGTTTATTTTCTTATTGAAACTCTTTTGTGACTTTAGAACGTTCCCAAAGTCTTTGAAGTTGAATAGTAAAATAACATTGTTTTTAATTTCATTCCGACTGAATAAATTGCTATTATTTACAATGTAAAAATGCTAATATTACATGGTTTCATTTTGTTTTTTTAAGTACTTTTATCGTGGCAAATGCAAAAGACAAACACTACAGCATAACAATATGTTATACATATAATATATGTAAACACTATTAATTCCATTACTTTGTTAACAACTGTTTATATATAACTATATTTCACATGTACATCTGGTTCTTGCGTAATGTGTTGTCACTTATAATATCTCTCCATTAGAACTAAATACTAATCTCTATTATACTCGTTTATAACGTTTTGCGTAGGTAAAAGCATTCGACGGAGTTGGCTTGCCGGTAGTTTTGCGCAGCAAATGTATGTACATACAGCCCACCCGCATACGTAATGTATGACGTACCACGAGGCAGTGAAGTGAACGTACTGATATTATACATTATACAATGGTAACACGTGGAAAAATTCGATAGACTTTGTGTCGCCACATTTCTATACTTCATTACTAGGTATTATTGTATACTTCCTATTGTACGTATTATATTATAATTATAAGTACTACGATTGCCATAGAAAATTTTCGATTATATAAACCTAAAAAGTACCATGACGGGGTCCTCTCAGTTCTGATAGATGATAATGACCAGTCCTTTTGCCACCGTTACCACCCGTTACCAGGGTAGAATTTCTGCATAGAGCTGCTGCTAATGAATCATTGTTGACGAGCACAAAACGCCATTATTGTACCTAAGTACCATTTGACAATTATAATCCACCATTTAATAATTCAACCGGGAATCGAACCCGTATCCCACGTTATAGGTTTTCAACTTGAGTATTATACTAAAATAGCTGTAGGCATCACCCAGGCATGTCTTGTTTTATTTATTTGAAGAGCTCATGGCTTATGGACAAAAACCGCTCATTTCTCACCTTTTGCATCAATACAACGGCTGTTCTATGCTCCCAACCGGAATGCATTTGCAATAAAAATAGGCAGTGAGTGATACGGAGGGGCAGTACCATTAGCAAAAAAATATGTATTTTTTATAAAAAAAAAAAAACCCGATATCTATTCTCATAAACGGAGTTTGCAGTTGTACAAGAACAAATGTACAAGTATAATAATTATTGTGCCTCATTTGCAATATATAATTTTAATTAATAAACTGATAACAGACTAAATTTTAATGAAACGATAAAGAGGTTAGTATGGTACTCGGTGCTACTCTAATCCTATGCGAAATAAGTCAATAAACTTTTCAATAGTCTATTCAACGAATGCGATAAAGACTCGTAAAAAGTCTGGTTTTTATCTTCATGAATAATATAATCTGAGTATCAATGTTCCCTTGACCTATTCATTAACTGCGCAATATCATCCGTCTGAGAAACGTGTCAATGGACGTTGTCTTTTTACAACGCAAACTCGAAAGAATTTTGTTAATATGCGGCAAAATTATGAGGACGAAATTCGAACGATGGCACACGACTAGGCTGCATGTCACACTTTATAGTTCGCCATTTTATCTAACGCGCGCTTCTGACCTTGTTATGAATCCAGACGCTCGCAATGGACATGCGGAAGGTAAACTCAACTGCGTCGATTAATTAAACTCCTTTAATATATTAGATGTATTCCAATTCAAATAAAAATAAATAAAGATTTGAATGAATAATAAGTGTCTAACAGAGCGCGGAAATACCGGTTAATTAACACACAATGCGATGATTTACACAAAAGTTCTAGTTTAGCATTTACTGTTGACCATAACCTAATGCTCTTGCTCTAAATTCTACCACGCGTTAAATTATGTCGCACGTTTTAAAAGTCGATAAGAACGACTACAAGAAAAACCAGTTTTGTGATTTTTATATAGGTATGTAGTATTTTTAAAGCGGCCAAGTAGTTTTAATTATATTAGGTAGCTATTTTAATACCTACTCCTAATTAGACGAGTCACGCGTAATTTTCAGATTATATATGATATTACATCCATACTTGGTTTTGATCATAATCTAAGTTTTAATTTTTTGTGTATCTAGTTTTAATGTTTTAAATAGGAAAAATCTCGTTTAGAATATTATAAACTGTATATCAGGAATAAATCATTAATTGACAGCATTTATTATGACTTTTTATTATTTCTTAGACGAAGTATATTTATTCTAGCACCCTACATCAAAATCATAAAATACCATCTACTCCTATAACACACATTTACACATTTTCGCATTTTAAATTTGATTCTCAATTTAAAAACATTAGCAAATGATTGGACAAACAGTTGGCACGGACTGCCACTGCAAGTTGATCTGGACTGTCCTAGAAGACAAAATATTGATTCGACCCAGATGGAGTAAACATAAAATGGAGTAAACTTACTTATACCAACCAAGATAATATGCTGACTATCTTGCTCTATTTCAAGGAAGAAAGCTGGATAAAAAAACGAAGAAAGCAAGAAAAACGGGGAAATAAGGCAACATCCAATAACGGCAACATTCAGAAACGGTCATTGTGCCTTAATGTAACAGGGTAATTAGGTTTTGGCAAAAAAACAAAAAAAAACTTTGACGTAAAGTTGTTCAGTTGTTCATATCACAAAAAAAATATTGTGCCGTATCTTTTGTTGTTGTTGTTGTTGTTGTTTAATTCTACGCCACTACCTTTGTACTTCTGTTCACTACTGTTATCTCGATTACTTTACAATAAATACCCGTCAACTCCACTGTGTGGTTTGTGCATCATGGTTGTTAAATAAATATCTGCTATGTGCACTTATTCCAGGTTTTGACATTTCGTCAATTACGATTGGTACAATTACTAACCAAATTTATTTTTTATTCAATTGGTCAACAACGACATGTAATTCAGTTGAAAATTTGTATAAAATATTAAAAGTTCCTGCTCACTTACTTAATTTTCGTACAATTAAAAAAGGAATTACTCTGGTAGCGCATCTTTCAAAGGAATAATGGTCGATTTAAAGTAGTCATTAATTTAGATTAAAAAAAAACGGAAATATACCGGATTTGATCAGTATCCCAAATAAAATATCATTTAACAACATAATTTTATAACTACTTCTATACGTTTTTACAGAATATTTACATCGAAGTCCAATTCCATAAAACACAAATTGTGGATATCGATGTGGGTAGCAAAAATTGTAGAAAACAATGCAATATAATTGGATGACTTACCTCCATGACAACATAGACATAGGCGGGGCTGTCCATGCAGTCGTGCATCGCGACCAGGTTTTTGTGTTGCAGAGCTGTCAATTCACGTAGTATCTTAATCTCTTTCACGAGTATCTCTGACGCTTTCTGGATGCCTTTCTTTGTGACCACCTTCACCGCAACAGACTGGGACGGATTCTGTCAAAATGAACAGTGATGTTAAAAATATATAGTTCATAGTCACAAAATCATATAATTTTTTTAATCAAGATGTTTCGTAGGTTCTATATACTGAACTATATCAGCGCCTGCGCAATATCGCATTTTCAAAAAAATTTGCCAATTTTTTGTTTCTTAAAATTAGTATTTCATGTAGTACGTACTTATCACATATTTTTATACACATACTGTGAGATTTAATTTGACATTTTTTTAGTAAATGAAATATATTAGTCGTGCATGTAAAGAAGCCAGTTTAAGCAGGCCAAATTCCGTACTTGTACCTCAAGGTCTATGTATATGTCAGCTGTCCAATAGTAATAAAAAATTGGCAGTTATCCTATTGTGTTCTATTGTATTCTATCTACTAACGTACTAGCTCTTTGTGTAGGCACGTATATTATAAGTCGATCCGCTTAATATGATATTGAAGTTAAAGTTGATTTCTCCTTATTCAGAAAGAGCTATTTTACCATAATACTGTTCTAACATTAGCCCGCCCTAAATTCCGTGGGTTCGTGTAGCGCTTACATTGCGTGTGACCTGATTTCAACATAAACCCAGCGGGATCAACGCAGTCAGAAGGTCTTTACTAGAGTAATTGTTATTTAACTTTACAACAAGATTAGGTAGTATTTTGTTGATGGTATTACTGAGAATTCGTTGTGACAACTGTTTTCCAATAGAGTTGATGGTTAGTCAGAAATGAGAGGTTGATATTTTAGTCTCGTAGTATTAATTTAAGATTGTAATGTATAATAATTATCTTACCTGTCAAACAGGGATACATGATAGGTTTTCAATAGAAAAAAGTGGACTCAATGTAATTGCGCGTTTACGATTTAATTTTGAGCTTTTAATTTTATAAAATGATGTTATCCCTTCTGCGTGAAGGGATAACACGCCACACAGCTTCGTTGGAAAAATCGCTTCGAAAGCTTGTATCGCTGCGAAGCTGCGTAATCGAATTAATTCGAGCGTCTTAGGTACACATAGCAATAGACTTTTTAATAAACAAAGTGTAAACTACAAACAATTGCACCGCGTGTATTTTGAATTGAAAGTCTATGACAAACACGATTGCAAAGTACGGTGTAAGATGGTAGTTATTAATGACAGGCATATAAACTAAAGGGAGAGTTTGTGAATATACTAAGAACAGATTGATAATTTCATAAATACTAAGTACTATTTTATCCTGAATAGACTAATTTTATAAATGTGAAAGATTGTTTGTCCATCAAAACTGACTGTATTTACACAAGGTATAATTATTTTTACCATAGTAAATACACATATAACTGGTGATAGGGCGTCTCGTGAGCCCGCACAGATAAGTACCTACACAGTGCCTATTTCTGTCGTGAAGCAGTAGATAATGCGTTTCGGTTCGAAGGGTGGAGCAGCCATTTTACTGTGAAAGCTGAGACTTAGAACTCATGCCTTAAGGTGATTGGCGGCATTTACGCGATTGATTTCTATTGGCTCCGCTGATCACTGAACACCGGGAGGGTCGTGAGCATGTCCACCCATATTCGCAAAAAATAAATAAAAGAAAGCATGTCCCAGACACAGTCGAGTACATATGATATAATAAATTCGACAGGGAGTTAGCTGGTTCGTCATTTTTCCTACCAACGAATCTACAAATCGATGATGGTTTATAGTATGTTAGATCCCATAAACCAAAGATTTTTTTATCTGAGAAAATGCATGTTTTTTCATTATTTCTTAACTTCAAATTAAATTAGAGTGAATCCTTAGGGCACAGTATGTACACAAGTATACAAACGCATACTTGTGAATTCATAAAAAAATAAATAAAATTCTTGATACAAATTCGCTTAAAAAACGCTTCTTCATTTAAAAGTGTTATTAAATGATGCAGTTGCTATGAAGACGCGGTCAAGGTCTGACGATTGGAGCTCTGTTATGTATCATAGGTAGGTATTATCAATAAATTTCTACTCATTCGTTAATATTATGCCTCTAACCTGGTTGTTAAATAATTTATATTAGTTTGAGACATTTTTTTTAATCATCTCAACAGCAATATTATTTTTGATATGCTATATTGAACATTTACCACCGCATACATTTCCAGTATTCCTACTGGAATCTTCGGAACAACTTGTATGTTGAATAATTTCTTGAATCTATTTTCGTCGTCAGATTTCTGCCTTTCGTCGATTGATACCTACACTTCGTAAACCACGTTTTATAAACTATCAATTATAATAACAGACAAAAATCAGTAGCGACTTTAGTTGTGTACGTAGAGCACATATAATAAATGTGGTAGTATCCTATTAATATATTGTGAGGGGTTTAAGTATGAAACTGCCGATTTGTACTGAAAAATTGAAATTAGTTTTTTATTTTCATTTCACATATTTATTTAATCAAAATATCTAGCATTATTATTTACACATTACTGCCATCTAATAGGAAAGTAATTAATGCCTTTGCGATAAAACTCTGGTGATCTAGATTCTACAAACTGTGTAATATTATTTTATAGTACTGCCTTCTGGTAAGAAAACTTTTTAACGCGTAGAAAATTGTCCAAGTCACGAAAAAAATTGCAGTTCGTTGAAGCAAGGTCTGCGAAATACAGAGGGTGACGAATGGTTTCTAAATATTGTTAGTAAGGTAACGTTAAACCATGCTACTAATTCCTGGGTAGTTTGACTCGGATCGACTTTTACCATCTCATTCAATTCATTGTTATTAACATGTGTGGGCGGTCTTCCACATGGTTTGTTCTTCAAATCAAAATTACCATCACGAAAGCGTTTAAACCAAAATCGCACGGTGCGTTCATTAGCAGTCCCCTCTCCAAACGCAACATTGATATTGCGAGCTGCTTCTGCAGCGTTAGTTAGTTCCGCGTCGGAACTCGTATTCAAAAATCACTCGAATTTTCGAAGTATCCATCTTTCTTGTCTAAGCTGAATAATAAAACAACTGAAAGTCGATAATCGAATGTTGCACATTTTTTAAAAGAAGAACTTCATTCTTACCATTAAAAAAGTTTCACTCAAAAATCTCAAACCACGAAGGTTCTATGTCAATTCGAAGTACCTATTATAATAAAACGGCAATTTCATAATAATATGTACTTTGACCCCTATTATTTTATGCTCTCTCGTGCGGTTACTGAATCATTCCGCCGAAATATATATAGGATACCAATAATTTTATATATTTTGATGAACTAAATAAACAAATGAAAAACTTCTAGGTGGTTTTAATAATTTTCTTTCCATCAGATTGTTTTTGTAACTTTGTAAGATTTTCATAAGTACATATTTGTGTTATACGAAAAAGGAAATGGAAATGAATTTCTTTGTTACTAGTTCATCATATTCTACAAATTATATTTCGATAAGAACCGTGTCGTTACGAAAATTTTATGCTTCTCATAACATATAACATAGAATTCGGTGTTTTGTGATGTGAGGTTGAAGGATATCGTATTTAGTTGAGCTCACGTGCTGAACGCCCTTGAAGACCAGTGTGCGCAATGCGTAACGCATTGTGTGGTACTATTGTTTGTCCCGGGACTGGAATATAACTAGAATCCGGCCGCTCATAAACCACATCCCGAACACACAGGTTATCAACAAAGTGATCTCAACTGACCATTCATATCTTTTATAATTATTTCTGTATTTTCTATATATTAAGTATATGATTAATATTTTATTCGAGATTCATTTCGCACGAACTATTTTACTTCAAATCTTATAATGATGACTTGAGTTTTGTTTGATTTGTTAAACAATGACCTTTTTTTCTTTGATAAATTTAGCTTTATAAATATTCATCTAACATAATTATAATAGAGTCCGCTAATTATTTTGTTTATAGGAGCATGCAGGGTGCTATTTTTATATATTTGGATTTGGTGGAGTCCTATGCATTATGGATCATCCTTAATAGAACTCCTATACGTTAACCCAAATTTATCCTGATTTTAAGCACAACTAGTATATACAAAGCTAAAAATTTCATGTAGTACAGCAGTATCTATCACTAAATAATAGAAATTGGACAAAAACCTGAATGACGCTATCGACAATAATTTCAAGAATGCCTTGCACATATATTTAGAAGCTTGGAATAATAACAATCGGAATATCGATCTAGCAAGTAATGTCATCAACTCAGTACAATATCTTCTCTTGGTGAATATAGAGCTAATATAGGGTATCGGGCAAGATACTACTTTTTTTTTCCCTACCTAATCTGATAGCCTTGAGAGGCCATTTCAGCGGAACCTTAACTAGCAGGTGAGCTCACGGGGCTCAAACCTGACGACGTTGCTAACACGAACCCTAGCAAAAGCCGTGCTTCGCAGAATCCACCACCGGATCGGAAAGGCGGCCCGCTGAGAAGATCCGGCGAGAAACTCAGTGGGCTGTGTCTGAGGGAGGATACTACAGGACACTTATCTGTATCTGCCATAGAGAATTTCAGCATTGCAGTGCAACTGCATAAAGTAACTTGACTGATGAAGCGACCAGCAGCTTCTACATGGAAGATGTAGAAACTATATACCTCATACCTTGTGTGTGAGTCTTAACAAGGACAAGAATGGGCTTTTTGGCATTGTTTATCTGGAAATGTATGTTTATTGCATCTATCTCCAAACAATGCTCTGAAACTGATGGGTACAATGTTTAGAGATAAAGAGTAAGGGACAGAGGAATGACACAAAAAACCTCAAGAGTCAAGTATTGAAAAATATTTAATATTATGTCCAGCTCCTAATGAAAATATACCTCATTTGGAAATGATTATAATATTTGCATGACAACATAAATACCTATGTCCACCAGTGGACATCTGTGGGTTGATAATGAAACACCATATGCAAAATAATAGGCAACTAATGGTATATGTTACATCATTTCAGTGGCCTTGTGATTCTTAGGGTTAATAAGTAATTAATTGAGTAGTGTTGAGTTTTAGTTTGTGGAAACAACTCCAATGTCATGAACATGAACATGAAATGAACAATTTGGTGCTTAATATTTATCAGTTGGATGGGACCATCCACCTCAACAAAAAAGTGTCTAGATTATATTATATATCACCTGTAGAATAATTACTTTATTTGAATTACTTTGAATTTAATTGATTACTTTGCAGCAGAAATAGACAAGATAATTCAATTATTATGATTCATTTAATACTACTCAGATTTCAACTACTTACATATCTCAATGTAATCAGTTGTATTTTTTTTGTTGTTTAGGGACTGGGAACCACTTTAGGCTTGGTTTATTTAAATGAAAATTTGCATTACAAGGTAATGCATCAAAATCAGAACAGATCAACATCTTGTAGCATTGCATGTCTCACAAAAATACAACATTGAAATATTAAGCAATGCTTTCTAGTGTAAATGTGCTGCAAAAAATATAATTTTAATTAAATGTTTTATGATTAATGCTTCATTCAAGTGCCACCACCATTTCCTTAAATGTAAAGTAAGTTGTTCATTGACTGCTTCTTTGATGGCTGCTCATTATTTCTATAGATGATTACATTGATGATGATTACCTGTATTCTAATAATGAGTAAAGTAAGTAAAAATTTGGTATACATACATATAATGTGAGATCAATATTTATATAGTGGTCCATGCTGCCCATGATCAAACACTGTGGTGGAAAATCAAATGTGGTCATGATACTCAGCAGTGAGGGAATGATGAAGAAGAATTTATATAGGTATTAAGAGAATACATGCCTCACATTAAAACTTCATCATCTTCATTCATGATTTTTTCTCACTATAGTACGAAATTATAGATCTTCACATTTTAAAATGTACATTCAAATAGCTTTCTCTTTTGTTTATTTTTGGCGATAAGAAAAAAACAAAAATGACGCTACTCTAGGCATTGAGCCTTCTAAGTAAACAAAGTTGTTTATAAATATTTCTTGAAATTTATTATTCATTACAATCAGCTGATTGTTTGTCAAGTATTAAATTCAAATGTAGTGATATAGGCGCAATCACTACAAGTCTTAGATGTCTTTGTTACGAAATTGCTAGCCCGCCTGTTAGAATACATAAGGATTATAAAACATAATAAGATCAAAACAATCAGTTTTCAGGCTATGCAATGTATAACTTTAACATATTTACGAGATATAGAGAGATACGTCTTGAATGTTGACACTAACCTTTCTCTTCCTTCCTTTGTAGACCATCGCAAAAGCACCATGTCCAATTATATCTTGTTTAGTGAACTCGTAGTCACCGACTTGGATAACTTCCATTTTCACTAATTTTCCCTTAACCACGGACATGATTCAGATTTTATTTACAGTCTTTCAAATTTTAAGATCAATAATTATTTGTATGTTACGGATTGAGGAACTTGACTATGTGCTACATTCTGATTATAGATAGCTTTTAAATCACTTCCCGGTCTGTAAGGCGCTAATGAATTCAATTCACAAAACAAAAACACTAAACTACCATTGTAAGTAATTAAAAAATTAAACAACACCCGAGAAGTCCAAAACGATACCTAGTGATTTTATTTTGTGTTGATTGAATGAATGCTGAGTGTTGATTTTAGTTAGACAGATTTCAGTGCTGCCAGATGTCAGATTGAAAAGTTACAAAATCAAATGCTACCAAAAGGAAATTTTAAAGCTGTATAAGTATGTAGTTCTTAAAAATATTTCTCAACAAACATTTACATTTTTTAAATATTGAAATTGTTGACCGATCATAAAATGTAATAGTTATCATTAAAAAAAATCAAAAATGTAACATTGAATGTTTGTATGGTTGGCTGAAAATTTTGTTGACTAATAAAGAGAATAGTGACAGCTACCATCAAAATTGAAGAAGGAAAAACTTTGAAAAAGGCACAAACTATTCAATGCCCACGCAGCCTTTTATTCCTGCATCTGAAACTTCGGTAGTATATTTCACACCATCCGGCTTGGGTACCGGAAGACGTCGAAAGTTAGTCGGATCGTTTTAAGGGTCGCTCTCTTTATCTATTGTATTCATGGATGTGGGTATTGTTTTGTGAATTTAGTCTTGGTTGGTTGCCACGTCTTCTGAGATCAGCCTTTTAAAGGTGATTAAGACCTCTCAGTTACTGGTTACCACTTCATGGACGCTAAGTCGCTAGGTCATGTCACCACCGTCTGATATTCGTCGTTGACATTTTACTGTAGGTATGCTTTTTTCTGACTACCCTTGCTTTTATATATCCGGGCTTAGGACCGTCAATGGTGGAGTTTTATTTGTAATGTAAGTTTTATTAAGTAAAGAACATTAATTAATTTAAAGTTATTGGAACGAAGTTCCTTACGGCAGGTTTGGAGGGGATAGGGATTTTGCTGCGCGACCGAACTGAAAAAAATGTGATAGTAAAACCGTAAGAAAAAATCCGTGGAAAAAGTGCGTGGAAAAAAATCCGTGGAAAAAAGTGCGTGGAATAAAACCGTTAAATGAGACGTGCGCAGGCGCGACAGTCGTATACACAAGCGAGTAGTGTATAATACCTTTCTCTTTCTCCCTCTTTCTTTTCGTTCTCTCATCCCTTCTCTCTCTATTTTGTAATTATTTCTATTTCTATGTAATTTTATGTTGTCAAACAAAAATAAAGAGACATATTTTGTTATTTTAATTGATAATTTGAATTACGATTCTATTTTTATTTTACGTAATTTATTATTTCCTAAAATACTGAATTTCCTAAATACTTTCCTGTACTTAAATAAAAACTAATCAGCAAACTTTAAGAGAAAAATCAAGAAAACCAACATAAAATTGAGCACGATTTTTTTTTTTTTTGCAAATTGTGTCGATTCTACATTAACCGAAGGAACTTCGTTCCTACCTGGTGTCCCACGGCACCACATTTATATTTTATATTTAAAAGATTTATATTTACTCATTCATAGAAAGATTCGCTAGACCTCAATGCTGTGTTCATTGGAAACAAAACTATCTACAGCTTTTGAAAATATGTTTAATTATGAAATACGTACTAGGTAGGAAATTTGTACCTACGGAGGTTGCCTGTCCCTGTAAAAATGCCAAACTTCGGAACGTCAATGTGACTTTGAAAATAGTATAAATTTTGAAAGCTTAAAATAGATGAAAAGAAAAAAGTCAAATGAAATTCTGCCTAGCGAATAGCAATAAAAGAAATAGAAGTTTTTGATTTCATTGTTCCTTACTATATTTTGAATAATTAGAGTAAAGTAATGAAATCGTAAACATCATTCATAATCAATTGTAATGGCTGATAGAGATCTATCAATGGGTCCTCGAGAAGGGGTTACATACCCAATAAAGGTTCAATACTGTGGAAACTGTTCCATGCCCATAGAATATTGTGAATATTATCCAGAATACGATAAATGTAAACAATGGCTGGAGAAGAATCTTCCGACAGAGTTCGAGAAAGTAAAATTAGGTAACTACGGTAACAGAGGTTTCAGAGGTTATCTCTGCTATCGTGTTAGTAGGAAATTATAATTTGGTGTAAATATTATTTTCAGACGAAAAAGAAAATACCGGGGGTGAAGAAGAAAAAAAACGCCAGAAGCGTGGTGGCAAGGGTATGTTAAAATCCAAGAAGAAAGAAGATGTTCCCAAATTAGTGCAGGTATCTCGTGCTCCTCGGGGCAAGAAGAAATCAGTCACAGTCGTGTCTGGATTGAGCACTTTTGGTTAGTATCTTTGTCTCAAGATATTATTCAAGCTTAACCACAGAGAAGTGCAAAAAGCTTAATTAGACCTGTTTTCATTATCTTAGTACGAACATTATCATTGCATTGCTGTTGTGATGTCCCTAAGTATAGACTTTATGTCAATGCTCCCTAGAAGTGACTCTTCAACTAGCATCACACAGCAAATGTTATATATGGTTTAAATTCTAATGGTAATTTGAAGTGTCTTAGTTTTGTAGACAGGAAATTACTAATTGTATCAATGGCTGTCTTGCATTATGTTCTACTAACAAAATATCATTTATTAAAAGCTATGTACAATACAATACTTTTAAACATGCAGATGAATAAACCGTTGCTATATTTATTTTTCAGATATTGATCTAAAAGTAGCAGCAAAATTTTTTGGCACAAAATTTGCTTGTGGATCTTCAGTCACAGGAGATGATGAGATAGTAATTCAGGGTGATGTTAAAGATGATCTTTTTGATATCATACCTGAAAAGTGGCCAGAAGTGAGTAAAAAATTCTTTTTGTACAGTTTTTACATTATTCATTTCACTTGCTCTGGGTTCCAATAGTCTAGAACGCAAGCTTTGTAATTGTATAATGTTGTCAAAGATTGAAAGGGAAAACTATTTCAATTATGGCCTGTAATAATTTTTTACTGCTGGTTACCCAATCAAGCTGTTTTATGTAACAATGTGAACTGCTTTTTTAACATCTTCTACACTATGCATTATTGATAATATAATTAAGATAATCTTTAGTAACTTTACAAAATGTCTATGAAACCAGTTTCATAGACATTTTGTAACCTAAATAAATAATTCGCTTTAAAAAAATAAAACATCTATTTTACAGATTGATGAAGACAGTATTGAAGATCTTGGTGATCAAAAAAGGTAGTGTCCCCTACACTAAAAGAAGATTACACCAGGATAATACATTATTTCTCTTTATAATGTTAAAAATTGTCATTTCAAAATAATAGTACTACAATTTATTTTTGATCTACCTCATTTTCGGCAAGTATATTGTTATTTTTCTAGAAAACAAAAAGAGTCTTTAATTTCTAATGTCGATGAGTTTTTTGCAGATATTCAATATCTGTAAAGAATTTTAATTTATTACTGTATCTACAGCCAACAAAAAAAATTGTTAAAGAAAGCAAACCACTTACTCCTTTCATGTTTGTTACAACAGTTTACCTAATCAAGCCATGTCTTTTGCACACAATTTTACAATAAAACAAGAATTGTCATCAAAAACTTATTTTATTAAGCATTTGTACTGATAAAGTGTCTGAATATCTTAAACTCCTGTTTTATTTTAAATTCACGTAGTTACTAAAATTGAGGTTATTGAATGAAAACGAATTAAAACAAACTTGCTTCTCTTAATGCTTATAACTTTACATTACTACTGATTACTGAGGGTGTCAACATAGATTTTTTTTTTATTGCTTAGATGGGTGGACGAGCTCACAGTCCACCTGGTGTTAAGTGGTTACTGGAGCCCATAGACATCCACAACGTAAATGCGCCACCCACCAATAGCATAGAGAATAGAGAAGCAAGAGCATAGAGAAATCAAAAAGTGTAGTAAAGTCTAGTAAAGTTCTTACTGGTGGTATGACCTCTTGTGAGTCTGCATGGATAGGTACAACCGCCCTGCCTATTTCTGCCGTGAAGCATTAATGCGTTTCGGTTTGAAGGGTGGGGCAGCCATTGTAACTATACTGAGACCTTAAAACTTATATCACAAGGTAAGTGGCGGCATTTACGTTGTAGATGTCTATGGGCTCCGATAACCGCTAAACACCAGGTGGGCCGTGAGCTCGTCCACCCAAATAGCAATAAAAAAAAACATAGTTTTCCGTCACATCGACCATCATCGCTGGCTTGCGTGTGCTGTGTTATCTCTATTTCTGAACATAATGCTTCATTTCTACTTCTTCCAAGCAGAAGTTCAAGTTCAAAAACACATTTTGTCATTAATCCACATTGAAGTAAAGTGAGTTTTTGTATCTAATCTAATACAGGTAACCCTATTGTAACACGGTGTTTTACAACACTATTTCACTATAACACGAAAAGAGAAATTCCTCAAAATCCTCTTATAACACGGTACAAAGGTACAACGCGATAACGAGATTTCTGTTTAAAATCTTAAAGAAACTGAACACACAGTATAAGGGGATAACCGAAAATTTACAGCTTATTTTTTATGTATAGTTAATAAATATATATACATATATAATGGCATAGTTGAGATGTTTCATTAAAAAAATTACTCTCCTTTTTGTACTGGCTTTTTTCATTTATCACGGTTCAATAATGCCGGCTGTACACGCTCGTCTCGTTTTCTCGTGTGCCTCTCGTCCGCTCTCGTCCGCTCTCGTCGCGTAGAGGCTCGACACGAGACCACACCATGTAAACACTCGTTGTATCAAATAAACATCGGATGCTTGTTGCAATGGACCTAAAAGAAACTGACGCAGTTGGCAGACAACTAAACTAACGTGTGTACATGCGCGCTTTCGTTGTTATCGCGAGACTCCGAGACCCTTTGACTTGGGCGCAAAAAACCGACACGCTTGCGAGAGCGAACGAGAGCCATGAGACGAGATGAGGGTGCCATGTGCACATTCGTCCTCAGCCTGTCTCGTGGTGTCTCGACGAGCGTGTACAGCCGACGTAACGCGGGACTTTGTAGGAACATATCTACCGTATTATAAAAGGGTTACCTGTAATTACATCCCTTAACCTATTGTTTTGTCACGCAATGCTCATGCATACACGCAAATTAGTCGTCGGTGCTGGGTATATGGACTCCGGTAGGCTGGTCATTTACGTAAGCAAATAATCTGCTGTACATCCTGGTATTAGCATAGTACCTATGCGATATAAACTTTACATTTTAAACGCCGAATTTGTATTCTATGTTTATTAAATACTAGCGGCCCGCCCCGGCTTCGCTTGGGAAGTAGCGCACGCAATGTAAAGAATTTTAGGTAATTTTTTTACACATTGGGTTACATTATTGGAGTTTCAATAAGGCTCCCTAATTTGTTTGAAAATATAATAAATATAGCCTATGTCACCCGGGGATAGCGTGAAAGAATTTTTTAAATCGGTTCAGTAGTTTCGGAGCGTATTCAATACAAACAAACAAACAAATTATTCCTCTTTATAATATTAGTATAGACAAACTGCAGGGTAAGTACCTGATAACTACTAAACCTGATGGCCCACTTGGTCTTCCGTTTCCTCCAATCTGAGCTGTTTATTTATTTTAAGAAAGGATAATACAATATAAGGTGAACAGTACATACTTGTGCGGGTAGAAATAAAACTTCATTTATGTGTTTAACAATAGAGTTTATTGGTTAGGTACACAACATCAGTGAAAAACAAACTATTGTATCAAAAGTCTAAATTCATTATTTTTTTTCTAAAGAGGTTTCTTTTTCGTTCATTAGTAATTATTGTTAAAACTTTACGATAAATTTACTACTAAATCCTACAATTTACTAAAAAGTCGTAGATATAACACAATATCTCTGGAACGCTATACATCTATTATACTGTCGTGTTTTTTATCGGAAGCTTTTAGTTTTTGTTGCATTTGAGTTAACATATCTTGCATTCTTCGTATCTGTAAAAATAAAGTAGAATTTTTGAAAACAAACTATTTGCAATCGTGTTATAAATCAATATCATCAATTTCAATCAAAATGAATTTCAAATAAGGTATGAAGGTTAAATGTAAGGAGCACCATCTTGTATAAAGGACAAGTTGACAAAGTATTCACCTGTAAACACCAAGTTAGTGTTGACCAAGACTCACCAAAATAGTGCTAGTGTAGGAAGTGGAAATAATATGAATTGAGCAGTTTTAAACAGACTGAAGTGTGCCGGATTGAAATGAAGTGTTATAGCTATATGGCGTGGTTCTTCAAATCCTTCCACTTGCTTCTATGGCGCCACCTTAATTGGCTCCCTTTCAGCGGACACTTTTTAATACTCTGAAAGGGTGCTCCTTACTTCTAACTTCCATACTCTAAGGGTAGAGGTAGATTGTTTTATATGTGAGACAAGTTGAAAAAGTGTCCAGTGTGCTTAGTGCGAGTTTTTTAACGTTCTCGATAGCGTAAAAGTTAGCCCAATTTTGTATGCAGTTGGAACAGCGCCCCTAGCGGCAAACGTAGGCAAACGATTCCATTCCATACAAATATGAGCTAACTTTTACGCTATCGAGAACGTTGAAAAACTCGCACTAAGCACACAGCTGTAAGCAGCAAATTAAAATTTAAAAACCTACAAAAATAGCCCAAGCGTAGCAAGTGATGCTATACGAATTTTGATGTCTTTGAAATGGCATCACTTGCACAGTGGCGCCACCCAATTAATCGTTTTTGACGGACACTTCTTCAAACACAGGTCGTGCTCCTTATCTCTACCCTCTATCATTTCACATGATGAGTTACTTGATTGAATTTATATTATAAGGATGAACAGAAAATATTTAAAAAAATGTAGCATGAACTAATGGCGTAGAAAATATCAATTGATATAGGTACCTCTTCGTCTTTTTGGAGCAAGAGTCGATCAGTGTCGGTGATGACCACGTCGTTGTTGTTACCCATAGAGTCTCTCTTCAGTTTCCTGACAACATAATAGCATTTTGTTGATACATTATCATATTGTCGACAAAAGATAGATCAAACTCGCCATGTCGATAACCATCACAGATCACATCATTTTACTTGAAATGCGTTTATGTTTCATGGAGGTGTTCCTATAACCGTCCATGAGGTATAACCTATCCACGCAACTTATTTTTACTATTGCTTTAAACCAACTGTCGTTGTAATTATAATTTTTAAACATGATATTTTTTTAAATTGCCTACTTTAAAATAGCCATAAAAATATAGGGATAGTAACAGTCAAAAATGAAGTTTATTAAAGAAGCCGCCAGCCACACCGTTCCCCGACCGGTCAATCTTTCCCAGTCTCGACGTCTGTATATTATGCTTGTGTAGTGGATTATTAGTGATGCCCAAAATATGTCTATATTCTAAGGGTTACAGCTTTTTTTTTTCGTGAGCTTATTCGGTTCTGACTTTTTATCAAAATTTAGCTCTAGTTCAAAAAGTTACCCCGCCAGAATGAAACCAAACGCTCCTCGTTGGTCATCACTTAAGAACGAATGAAATATCTTGTTATTTTTGGTCGCGCTATTGCCAAATGAGGTTTTTATCGCAAAATAAGTAGATATTTATGTAATCTGGTTCTAAATTATTTTTAGTATTATAGGGGGCTTGTACTAAGTTCTAGTTAACTGATTTTTATGCATTTCTTTTTCAAGAACGGGGCAACCTCTGCCATAGCTGCTAGTCTTACTGAATAATAATAATATAATAATATAACTCTTTATTTAAAACCACACGTACAGAGTAAGCATATAAAACAAGTAATAGACGGTAACATAAACTGGCGATCTTATCGCTGAAAGCGATCTCTTCCAGGCAATCTTGCAGGAAGAGGAATAAACAAGCTAGCATGTGAAAAATAAATACAATATAAGATAGACTTACATACGATTAAATACAAATAAATACTAAAAATATGTAAGTAAATACAAAATAAGTAGCAACTTATACAGTTTTATCGTGGGAGCCATATTATTGTGCAAGGTAGTGCGATTTTAATCTGAATCACGGTATACTATCTAATTTGATCAAATTGTACAGACAAATTGAATGACAATGAATTTTTATTGCATATTACGTACCCCCGTTCACGCATGGCATGTTGTGAAATTTGAGAAATGCACTGAGCACGGAAATTCTCGTAGTGCACATCTTGAGTCACGTCCTTCAGATCCTGCATGTGTGTAGAAATTAACATTGTTCTAAGTTTGGTGAAGTCTGAATGCCGCGGGTTTTCAACTGTTAAACAAACAATTTTAAATAGTAAATAGGGCCAAAAGCACGTATAATTCACATACTCCAAGCGCTACAGCTGTTCTTAATTTTATTATTAATAGTTTTCGATGCCATGCATCAATCTTCTGGAAACGCGGATGATAGTGATAGCCGTACTGGAAATAAATAGTAACACGTAGGTATGTATTTGTTCAAATTGTCATTTCCCTATATTCTTAATAAAAGTATTTTAAGCAAGACTGTGGTTAAGCTTGTCTGAATATTTTCGCTTTTATTTTGCTTGACTGATAGTGTGTATGTGCTGGATGTGTACATAGGTATATAAGGGCGGAAAAACCGACCAGTTTTCATAATTTTAGTTTTATAATACATTGTCTACAAAAAATAATTATAAATACCATCAACAATTCCCCACGGATACTGTCTACCCCGCACTCTTTTGCCTCCCATCTCGAGGACTATATCAGAAGCGACCACAGCAAATGGAGCCGCTTCCTTTAATTCGCGGTCTTGTTGTTTGAAGTCTTCATCTTCGTCGCTGTCACATTCCGGGAATTGGTATACCTGTTAGAAATTAGAGAAGTATAGAATACAACGTATTTATTTAAGATAGCGACCCGCCCTCGCTTCGCTTCGGAAACATAAAAACACAAATGAAACCTAAAAAAAAAAAAAAAAAATTAAAGACGTAGCCTATGTTCATCAGAGACAATGTCGGCTTCTAATGGAAAAAGAATTTTTCAAATCGGTCCAGTAGTTTCGGAGCCTATTCGAAACAAACAAACAAACAAATCTTTCCTCTTTATAATATTTATTTAAGATTATATATATCTCTATAGCTGTATTGTGTGAAAACGATCAAACGATATAAGGGAGTGAGGGAGTCAACACTTCGGTGTGTCCGTAAAGGCTAGCACACTCGGATTTAATACGAGCTCTATAGCTTTAGACTATTTTTGGTATCCGTACTTAAAATCGAAGAAATATGCAACTTGCAAGCCACACGTGAAGGTGAAAGCGGAAAAACTTCTAACGCGCTGTTCAATTTTACAAATTCGTTTACATTGAGATCAAAAAGATATTTTAGCTATACTAACAGCTGCGATAACTTTTACATTTAAAATACCCACTGCTCATAGCTAGCTTGAAATTGTAACGAGCCACAACACTTTTTTAGGGTATAATATAATTTAAACCATGATTCTCCGTACTTTGACATTTTTAAACACTCTTACGGAAATACAAAAGGAAAGTTCTGTTCCTTCATATCGTCTAATATATGAAATACATATACAACCTAGAAATTTTATAACTGGATAAACATTAACAAATGTCAATTGTCATAAAACTAACTTGTATCTGGTGTTCTTCAAGATCGTTAAGTATTCGTGCCTTGAGTCGCTTTATTTCGATCGCCGTAAGAGAGTCCGCTTTTGCGATTACCACCACGATGTTCACTTTGCGATGCAGACGCTTCATCATTTCCAGATCGACTTGTCGTAGGCTGCAGATTACGAATATTTAGAGTGTTATTATATCGGTATTTATGCATCCATTTATTACAATCTAATTCAAACTAATATCAACGTCTGGAGATGGGTGACGACATTCACCTTATGGTATCTCTGCGAACAGCTTAGTCATAAAACCCTATGCCCATTAACCAACGAGTTCTACATGTCTACCTGATTCTATTCATCCCAAGCCATATGGATAGGTATTTTAATTAGGACAGTGAAAAGTGTATTGCCGGCCGGTTTGTCGTTCTAGGTATCACTGGTACGTAAACAACTGGCAAGAGAGGTCGCAACAACGGCAGGAATGGATAAGTCTCAAATTTTCACTTCAAGTTACACAAATTACAAGAAAATATCGTAAATGGAAAAAAAACAATATGCAATATTAACGACAACGATGGACGACGATTAGATTAACAAGAATAAAAAATTATATACAATTGGATCCAATAACGCTATTATTAATTAAACTTATTGTCTGTTATTGAGAAACTAATAGTCTTATTGCCAGTGCCTTCGCCGTTTGACCGTTTGTTTGAAATACAAAAAATAATACTCTTCTCTAGTATGTATTGTGTACTATACATACGGGCCAAATGTCTAAATTTGTTTTAGTTTCATCTCAAAGACATTGTTTGTAAACCTCGTTGATCGTAAGAGACAATAATACCAACAAGTGCATTGTTACAACATTAAATCAATAACAATTGCAGCGTCTCAGTGTTAAGAAATAAACAACATTTCAATAAAATTGTTTCATCCAGCTATCATTGATCACTTTATTACATTGCATTCATATTTGACATTAAATGCTCTTTTACTAAACATCGAGATACTAAATTAATAACTCTCAAAATGTTAATGTCGCTTCTTTTAGTTAGCTTTATCTATAGTAAACAGTAATTTATTTTTTCCAATTTATATAAAATGTAAATGGAATAAATAGATAAATTAAGAGTGGTTGGTTTACTTTCATCACTAGGTCTTTGTACAATTTTAAATTGGTAATATGTATATATAAGCAAATTATACTACTAATAGATAAAACTTAACATGAATAGCAAAGCTGATTAATATGTAATATATTATAATATATTTTGACAGGAAAAACACATCTAACAGGTTTAGACAATTAACACAAAACACAATTTTTAAAATGTATACGCAATAATCTAAAATTTACAATTTAATTATATTTATTTATTTAATTATATTTTAATTAAATTGGCCGCGGCCCTAGCACAATGGTACAAACTATTACAAAAATGTTGTCAGATCAAAATATGAGTAGTAAAATTGATCCATTTTATAGTTCTCATGTTGAAATTGCAATGAAAATTAGAACTTGACGTTTTTTATTTTATCAAACTACACTCGTGACTAACCATCGTTGACCCAAAAACTCTTTTTAAGCGACCAATTGTGTATAGTACCCGTAGACGAAAATAAACACTTAATAAAACAATCGAGGTCAAATGACTTTAATGGAAATAGTCTATCCGGATGTTCATTTTGAACGAGTGTTTTTTTTTTAGTATTGAAGGATTACTGGTGGCCCGGAGGCCTTTCCAGTTTCACCAGGATAGGTGGGCGAGCAAAGGCTCAGCCAGGAGGGGTGGGATTTGCTAACAGCTGCTCGAGCGCTTCCGAAGGAGACCTAACAACTCAAGAGCAGCTGCTTCGCGAATGAATCTACTACCGGATCGGAATCGCGACCCGCTGAGAAGATCCGGCGAGAAACTCAGCGATAACGAGTGATGTTGGCCTAGAGCCGTACCACGCCGTCTCTTCTTGTGGATATCGTAAAAGGCCAATTAAGGGGTTAACCGGACAACAGCATTCTCTTATATCTACATGCGTACTAAGAACGCCAGCTGGTANGGACTGCGCTTGCCTGGTGCACTTACTATATTCTTGTTACGTTGTGTGATTCAGTGACTGTTGTACGTACTGGTTAAAGTTGGACAAGTGTTAAAGTGAATTGTTACGATAACATATTGTTGATTAAATCAGGAATCAAAAAGTGACATCGTTTTACTTGGTGTTCAACAAGATAATGTCTACCCTCAAGCTTACATATATATAGATATGAGTGGACGAGCTCACAGCCCACCTGGTGTTAAGTGGTTACCGGAGCCCATAGATATCTACAACGTAAGTGCCGCCACCCACCTTGAGATATGAGCTCTAAGGTCTCATAGTTACAACGGCCCCACCCTTCAAACCGAAACGCATAACTGCTTCACGGCAAAAATAGGCAGGGTGGTGGTACCTACCCATGCGGACTCACAAGAGGTACCACCAGTAAAAAATGTAACCGGTCTTTTAATGGTAACCGTCCGAATACGTCTGAAACACGTTGCTTATGTTGTTTTACGAGCAACCCGAATCGCTTTTGGGCGGTCTCTGGTAGGAACTGGGAGATGTTTCGTCGAATGATAAATGGGATTTTTGGGTCTGTTCTTTCACGAAGAGGTCCTACCACTAGTAAATACCTATTTGTATGGAGTAAATTTAATTGAAGTTCAATTAAAAACATCGAATTGTTGATACTAATACCAAATAAAACGCATCCTTAATTACAAAAAAAAATGTCGCGTATTGAGCGAAATCTCGCTTAAACCAAATAGCCTTACACACCTTGAAATAATATACAGTTTGCTCTAACTTTTGCATTAATTCAACCTTTGTCGAAGCTTCAAGTTTAAAACTAGTTCATTGTATCAGAAATTACGACCACCGTTTTGTTCTAGAGGTTACTGACCCTGCTAGTCCACAGTGCGGCAGTATCTTTGTTAAAGATATACCTATATTGTATTCGTGGTTTGGGTGTATTTATTTTTGCCTCATATATTCACAATAATAGGGCCAAAATTTATGTTAGAAATCTTGAGGGGGCGTAAGCATAATTTTATATCCATTTTCAAATTGGTTAAAATTATAATTGAATTATGAATAGATGCCGGTGCTGTCAGAGCACGAAAACACGGAAATTTGAACGGGAAAATCAAGGATTTTTCCTTTGTTAAATTCTGCAGATTCTGCGAATATCAATCTGCAACGAGGCATTCACGTCACGCGCTATTTCTTTTGTCTACCCCCGCCTTTAAGGTTGGCACACTGTCGAATGGCTCCTGGTTGAACAGAAAGAAAAAATAAAAAACACGCGTGGCACTCGGGGACTGCCGCGGTAAAGCTATTGCATAGCATTTTTTATTAACTTATGCAATTATAATGAGACAATAATAATTTAATATTAAAACAATAATAGAAAAAAACCACGCCATATTTATAAACATTAACAAAAGCAAAACATTAACTGTCCTCTTCACACTCATAAGCTACACTGCGCGAGAGAGAGATGGGCAAACTTTTCATGATGCCCATGCAGTGGGACGTCACGCCGCGCGCTTATTCACAAACACTACACAAGCGCAAGGTGTGAATGTGTTGAACCCGAGCTACATGGTAAGCGGAGTGGGGGGTGTTAGGTTTTATTTTCGTTACAGAATTTCCTGATTCGATCGCTGCGCTCAAAGCTCGCGAAAAAGCTATGCAATAGCTTAAAATAAAAAAAATAAAAAAACGGTACACCTGAGAATTTCGTAGCACTTCTAGATTATTTTATTTATAATTAGTGAATCCTGGCTGTTTTACTGTGACTGTTACTAAATATAGGGAGTGCTACAAGTGTTTCTAAATACAGGAGAATGTTACCAAACCCTTGAAACTTTTAACTAAATAATTCATGAATGAATAAATGAACTCACAGTCAATCCGGTATTCAGTGATTGGATAAGTTTTGAGATAAGACAAAATTTGTTTGATACAGACATATTCAAAAATTCAACTTTTTTTTTTGTTCCTACCTAAGCTGATAGCCTTGACAGGCTATATCAGCGTCGCCTTAACTAGTAGGTGAGCTCACGGGGCTCAAACCTGATGACGTTGCTAACACGAACCCTAGCAAGAGCCGTGCTTCGCAGAATCTACCGCCGGATCGGAATCGCGACCCACTGAGAAGATACGGCGAGAAACTCAGTGGGCTGTATCTGAGGGCTAATTTACTTGTCGAGCCCTTCGTCGCAAGCAACGGGTTCGACAAGAACGGTGACCGGAAAAATTCAATGAAAATGCTTCTTTATAATATATTTTTAATTGCCGTCCCAGAGATATATATAGTCTTATTCTATAAACTACAAGTCATTGTGCAGCCGTTAGGTACCGCTTTGTTCTTTTTCTCGATTGGTCAGTCTTAACAACTCGGAATTTGGCTTTACCTCCCAAATGACTTCGATACTAAACAGCTATCAAAATATCGATACAAAGAAACCCTAACATTTCCATAAGGCTGCAAGGAGCATCCTTGGAATTGCGGTGTAATGTCAAAGGGGTCCTTCTTCGCAGTAAACACACAGACCTGTGTCTTCAAAAGGCTTAATCGAATTAAATTCAATTCACTGTATTTCGAGATCCTCCCGAGAATTCCAAGAAATGTTGTAATGGCCAAATATATCATGCATATTACGTGTTGTCAAATACAAATAGTCGTTAGTATATGCTGTCGATTGACAGCTGACATTCACATACAAGATGGAAAGCGTGGAAGAGAGTACGCATAGCATCGAGACAGCAACCAGAGTTGGAAATAATACGTCATAATGACCTAAGAAAAAACTGTTACCACCTGCTCTGAGGGGGGAGGCATGGTGAAAGGGGACATAAAAAAACTTCGATTTTGCAATCTTTGAAGAACACCTTATCATACGAGAGGTAATAATGCAATTGTATTTGATTTAGTTTTCTTTCTTTATTAGTATCTGAAGCTCACAACAGTATTAAATAATTAAAAGTATTTTTACTGTTGAACCTTTTTTTTTTGTCTTTTTTTTTTGCGCCATTGTAAATATTTTACAGTTTTCGTGGTCACGAACGACGAAAGTCGTAAAAGTAGTTTTAATAACTACATTTGATACATTCGGTAATTAAGTTATTGCTAAAACTTTGGTATT